CCATTATTGTAGGTGCTATAGTGCTGCTGCTATTTCGGTGGCGTGGATGCCTTTTGCTTCGGCAGCAATGTGCATTCGGGAAATCTCCGCAACGGGGACCAAACGTGCCGTGCCGTGTCAAGGACGTGCGTTTTCCGGCCGGTCGGGGCCGGCGGATGCGAGTGGTGGTTCGTCGCCATTCGGTAGCTCACTCGTCCGASAAGGCAGAGCGGGGTTCTGCACCAAATCGTTTTCGCGTGATGCGGAACGCGAGTGGGGGCAGACGCAGGGGCCGTGTGTCCCACAGCTATTCCTTCGTGATGATCGTTTGCTGCTTGTTCTCGGCGTTGCAACGGGTTGGCCTTGTGCCAACTCCTTTGCATACCGAGCAAGAGCTCGGTGTAGATGATCGTCTATTGCGTATTCCATTCGTGTGAATGCCCAGATCGAATCCCTGGATTCGCTGGCGTAGCTAGCTCTTCCCGGTGGGTGTTGAAGGAGTGGTAGCAGCAGTAGCGACAGCACTTCCGAAGTTGTCCTCCCTGCGTTTTTCCGACAGCAGGACCAGCAGGATGACGGCGTCCAGGGCGGCGTACTCGAGCTGGGAGGGCCTCAGGGGCCTCTCTTTCCAGTCGCTGCACTGGTCGTCCTTBGTGAGKGGCTTGCRGAAGTACCGCTCGGCGCACTTCTTCAGGCCGGGGACCCTTCCGGAGCGGACCTCGGAYGGGTTCGAGAGCAGGYGCTGGACGTCGAGGCAACGGGACTCGACGGCTTCCAGCGGCGCGAGCTTGCGGGAGGGGAGTCCCGTGTAGTTGCGGAGCTGGCGCAGGTCGCCCCCAAAGGCAAAGCCCAGGACCAGCAGGTCGCACGACCTAGAGGCAAACATCCAAACGACGAATTCCCGGGCGGCTTCCTGGAACCCCTTCTTTTCCGACAGGAGATCGATCACAAAGGACCGCAGCCTCGGGRAAAAGGTTGAGGCAYCGGTGCCGTTTTYCCCGCYTTTGGTGTCTTCCGTGTTTTCGTCGACGTAGGCAATCTGCAGGGTCGCCACGGACATGGTTCGAAACTTGGATTTCTTCTTGGTGGATCCGGGGTCTCGGTCGTTTTCGGTTGTCGCTTTGAAGTACCACTCGGAATCGACCGCCACCATGCGCGGGGTGCGGTAGGGCGGAGACCTCGGGGACAGGTTKTGCCRGAGCCGCGACAGCTCCTCGGCGGTGTCGATAAACTCCGGGGGAAGCAACCGGACGGTGCTTTCCTCTCGCGGCGGCGAGMCGGGGAGCGCCARRCAGGGAGACCCTTCTTCCGATTCCAGCACCGCGGTCGGAATCACCAGGGGCAGCGCGTYGTACGCGGCTCGGACGAGCGGGTTGTCGCCCGGGGCCATGGATACCTGGGGGTTCGCGTGTTTCTTGCCGTTCGTTTTTCGTGCAGGCTTGTCGGAAGSCCTCGGATGGTGGGGGTTTCCCCTGTTCCGGGGATCCGCCATGGCGATGCTCGAGTGGAGTTTCTCGATCTCCCGCCACAGCGCTTCCAGCCRCTYCGATTCCKCGGCGGAYACCAATGGTGCCGGYGCGTCGCCGGTGTCGTCTTCTTCCRGTGGTGGGGCCGGCGGCCCCTCACGCGGCGGCAGCAAGACGGACCGGAGCAGGTCGATGTTGCCCTTRACGGATTTTCTCAGAAAGGTCGGCAGCCAGTGCTGGTACTGCCGCCGCTGGTTTTGTGAAGGACGAACCGCCGCGTTCGTCTCGTTCTCCGCCAGCTCGAGTTGTTKTTGTTGTTCTAGTTGTTGTTTCTTTTGTTTCTCCTGCAGCCGGAGAATCGTCAGCAGATCCGGGAGAATGCAATCGAGGTTGTGGTTGTGGCCGGGAGTGGTGCCGGCAMCGGTGGCCACATYGRTCGTTTCCTTTGCGTTCTTGTCTGCGTCCGAGGRTGCCAGAGACGCTGTTTYGGTGCCGCTCTGGCCGGCGTTGGAAGCGGCCCTGCCCAAAACRTACTTGACCCGGCCGCAGGCAATGTTGAGCTTGGCGACCTCCTCCTCGGAGAGCAGGTCGACGTGGTCCTTGTAGTTCTTTTTSGRATCCTTCCTCCCGCCTGGATCGTCCGCCCTGGTGGGATTGTGGTTCCCCCCCGGAAGGACCTCTAGGGGCACCTCGAAGGTCATGCGCTCCAGTTCCACCGAAACGGTGGAGAACAGGTCCCCRGCGAGCTGTTTCAGGGATTCGAGCCGGTCGGCGCTGGAAACATAGTTTTGCGATAGATTGAGCACCAAGCGGACCGGATCGGCACGGTCACCCTTTTCGTTTTCATCGCTGTTGTTGTTGCTGCAACGAATGCCGCGGCCGCAAACCGCCGCGGCCTCGATGATCCCCCCCAGGTCCAGCTCCCCCTGCTGCCGGTTGAGGTAGAGTACCTCGATCGGGTGTGCCCCCCCGGCCAGCAGGGAGGCAATGGCCCTGGACCCCCTCGGTCCGCATTCGTTGTACGAAAACCCCAGTTCCCGAAGGTTGCTTCTGCTGTTGCCGCTCCCCGCTTGGGTTGCCTCGTCGGTGCTTCCGACCTCTTTCTCCCTTTGTCGCACCAGGACGCTAGAGCACAATTCCTCCATCCGCTCGTCGTCGAGGCCGGAGCACTTGGGCATCCACAGCCGCCGGAGGGTGGAGGCCCGTTCGCCCCCGAAGGCCCATTTTAGCCCGCCAAAGAGGAGCGGGTATTGGTCTCCGGGACGCAGGAACCGGCACGAGTGGAGCTCCAGGACCTCGAGCCGGGACACTTTTGCAGAAGCGGGATCCGCGTCTGCGTCTGCGTTCGTCTCCGTGGTTTCGTCTGCTGTCGTCGTTGTCGCCGTCTCTGTGGTTGTTGTTGCTGCCCGTGTCGCCGCCAGGCCGTCGGCCAGGGATTCCAGAAAGCGGAGCTCGTTCCCCCCGCGGAAGCGGACCGCGGTCAGCCGGAGCTCCTTTAGCGGCGGCGGGGGGTCCGCCGCCAGGGGGATCCCAAAGTCCCACCGGATCCCGTCGTAGCGCTGGTGCTGGCGGACCTCGAGGACCCTCGCGCGCGAGACGGCCTCCCTAAGAACGAGGCCGACACAGCGGCCGCTGGTCTTCTCGAAGGAGATTTTCTGCCAGAGCGGAAAGCGGCGGACCAGGGCGACGGCCAAGCCGGCCTTTTCGGCGGTCCCAAAGCCCAGCCGGCAGAGCTGGAGGACGCGGTCGATTTGCTCCTCTTCTTGTGGGCTATYACAGAAGGGTGGTGCGCCGGCCCCGACGCCWGATTGGCTCGGTGCTCCGGATTCCCCAATGCCCAGCTCCCCGAGGACCGCCAGGAGCGATCGCCCGCTCCGGATCCCGTCCTGGTCGAAGGAGGTGATCTTGATTTTGATCATCGGGCGACGCTCGTTGCTTYCCGTAGAGGCCAYGGCTGGTGTCGTGTTTCGTGGTTCRGGTTCCGTCGCTCCTGGTGACGTCACCTCCYTTTTCATCGCGAAAACTCTGGCCTCGTGGTGGTTCTTGCCGCCGGTTTGTTTTCCTTTTTGTTTGTTGTTGTTATTTCCTCTCGCTGTGCCCTTGCGACTGCCCTTGAAGTCGTTGAGCATGCCCAATGCCTCTCTTGTTGTGGAGGGGTAGCTGTCTTGTCCCAGGACGAAATAGTTCTCTAGGGTCTCTTTGAGGATACTGTTTTCCTCGCTGCTTCCTTCGATGATTATCGCAGCAAGGAGCTGTTGTTTTGCCGACCTGTCGATATGTGCCTTYCTACTATCATCGTTGGATAGATCTTTGTAGTCACTGTAGACCATGCCATTGTATTTGGATTTGTTACRCTCAAGCTCGTATTTGATGAGTGCTGGACATAGCAGGTCTCCTCCGATTGCGTCAAGGACGTCACTTTGTTGCACAATAGTTTTCACATAAGTTGACCCATTGAGCTGCCGTTGCCGTGAACATACTAGTTTACGGATCGACCGCAGGATATTGGTGGGTGGGTGCACTGTGGTCTTGTTCCCTTGGTAGCATATGTCCCGTAGCAGCTTTAGAAGCTCCACTGGACATTCCATCTCGTTGATCATCTCCCATTTRTCAGAGCTCATGAGTTTCAGTTTTATTCCATCATCGACTTGTCCGTATGCCACCGCGTATACCTTTTTCATATCCGTGGTGTATGTTGTGTACGACTCAGCCGCAACTTTGATTTCTTCCTCGTACCACATCCTTATGAGTTCTTTGTCATCAGTCCAATTCGCCTCCGTTGGATGTTCTGGCAAGAAATCYACCCTGGTGAATCGCTTCARTAGCTCAATAGATCTTCCGACCTTCGGCATGTATTGGGACCCTCCTAGTGTCTGGAGCCGCTCTCGCAGCTCAGTGAACTGTGCCGGGCTACCATCTCCTGTGAGCACAATTCCTTCCAGGTCTCCCTTGTGGAGTCCGGTGAACTTCTTGTCCTYCATGGTTTCTTCTRCCTTGTTTCGTGTTCCGCTGGGTTGCGGTGGATTGGATCGTGGCTCGAAACGAAAAAAGGCCCGGCGTTTTGCCTCCGGTGGAAGCGTTTCTATTGGTTTCGCTCGCGGTCGAGTTCCCCCTTCGATCCTACACTTGGCACGTTTCCTTTCGCAACACACGGAGTCCCATTGCAATGGTTGATTCCTGTTTGGTTGTGTTGTGTTTTTGTGGTAAAAGAGCAATGCTGTGTTTTGTTGTGWTGTGATGTGATGCTTTGTATTGTGTTTTCGTCGTTTCTGTTTTTGTTGCGTTTTTGTTGCGTTGGTTTGTGTTCTCTGGCTCATTCGTACATATCCGGGATCGGATTTGGATCCGGCTCCCATCCCGTTCCGGTGGACCAAGTGGTCTGTCCATCACTCGTTCTRRRTCCATACCTTTCTTACAATATTAGAGTACGTTACGTACCGTTCATGAATGCAACAACATAGTGCGCTCTACGAGTACGGTAATCGTACTCGTTTACCGTTGMAAGTATTCGTACCTTCCTAGTACTTCGTACATTTTAGCGCTAATACACATGGCAAGTACCGTACAGTAGTACTCGTACTCTAACTACGGCAAACGACACGGCTCTTTTGGATCGTACGTACGGCACTGGACGTCGACGTCACGTCACGCAAGAGGCACAACGATGGCAMCGGCSATAAATTTCGCTATTGCCGGGGTGAACCTTCTATTAAGCCTCTCGTCCCGGTTGTTATGGCGAACGAGACAGTGCCCGGGTGTTGCTTAGGAAACGTCGACCCGAACGAATCGAGAGTGTTGGTTAATTGTTTCGGAGAACGGTGCGGGAAGCACACGGAACCACCGACAAATTCCAATGGTACCGTTGGCCATCCCAACGGACTCGGGTCGGCATTGTTATTTGTGTCAAGAATCCCAGTGCGTTATTTCCGGCGAGCGGATTGCGGGCTGGGGAAGGTTCCCGAGGGTGCGTCTGGGTTCGCAACAGAATTTGTTAATACCGGCCAGAAAAGACCCTATCGAGCGCTTAAGAAACTACTAAATGTCAAAAACCGTTACCGTTGTRTTTCCCAAAATTTAACCGTATGTACTCTACACTTCGCTTGTGTACTTAAGATACTACTTTTGTCAGTACAGATAGTACAGAGAGAAAAAACTGRCACTACGCAGCAWCGTCCCACCATACTGCTGGTACCAGTTAGTTGTGCAATAACGAATCAGAGGCCATAAGTACGAGTAGCGTCGTTGGGCACTATCGCATCGGTACGTACCAGTACGTACGAGTCGTGTGGGAGTGTACCGGCATTCCGAACTCCTGGTTTTCGTCCGCTAGTACGGTAGATGCTTCCCATCGACAGAGACCGTGTTTGTTAACAAGCTAGCTCTGTTCATCCAAAGCACGCGAAGTAATAACCCCCTTACCATTCGTTGCAACCAAAGTGCGTGACACCATTGGGATTGTACGTTGAACCCAATCACCTCACCTGGAATCCAAGCACAGCACAGCACAGCACAGCACAAGACAGCATCACAGAACAATATCGTCATTCATCGGCTCCAATTCACGACCAAAACCCAATCGCACAGACAAAGAGAACAGAAATCGCCAGGCAAAGTCGTTTGATTGAACTACTGTACTATATTATTATCGAATCGAATCGAATCGAATCGAAAAGCACCGGCAACCCTTTCGGATTCGAATAGCACTCGATAGCACGGCGCAGAACTGCTGCCTTTTTCCATTTCCAGTTCCAAATCCAGTTCGAGTTCGAATTTGTTGCGATGGATTACGACATTCGCGACCTCGTCCGTTCGAGGTCCAAGGACGAAAGCTCGGCGAACCCCAACACGAACACGAAGGACCACAACCACTACTACGAAAGCAGCGGAAGCGGCATCTACCGGAGCAAGAGCCACGACTACAGCGACGGGATCAGCGACATCGACAACGACGACATCAGCGGCATGTACCACGACCTCCAAAAACCCAAGAAGAAACGCAGCGCCAGCAAGTCCAGCAAGAAGAGCCGCGCCGGAAAGCTGGGAAAGCAGAAGAGCGAGAGGAAGCGGTCCAAGTCGAGGGCGCGGTCCCGTTCCCGGAAGCGGCTGTCGGCCAGGGCGGAGGCGACGAGCGGAAACGGCAGCAACAACAACAGCAACAAGAAAAAGAGCAGCGGCAAGGCCGGAAACTCGGGGGAAATCGACTCGTCGGTGTCCACCGAAACGACGTCCGAAACCCGATCAACGGAACCCGCCTCGCGGTCCCAGCCCAGCCGGGAGGACGACCGGGAGCGGGGACGCCAGCGGGAGAGCCAGCGGGAGAGCCAGCGGGAACTCCAGAGGGAAAGCCAGCGGGAGATCCAGCGGCAGCGGACCGTGCGGCGATCGAGAACCAAGAGCCCACGGGTGAGCCGGCACCGGCTCGAGGAAGACAACCGGAAGGAGGARAAGGGGAGGTCCCGCAGCCAGAGCGTCAAGCGCGGGAGGGAGAGGAAAAGCAAGGACCGTGACCAATACGAACAACAATACGAACAACAACACCAATACGAATACGAATACGAACAACAACAACAACAACAACAACAACAACAAAACCAATACGAACACGAACAAGAATACCAATACGACTACGGCCGCAGCGATTACAACAACAACAACAACAACAACAATAGTAACGACGAACCCAGCGAGATCGAGCCGGAGGGGGATTTCCTGCGCGGCGAGGACGGGCGCCGCGGGAAGGAAAAGCAAAAGCCGAAAGCAAAAGCCAAGCCGGAGAAACAGCGATCGGTTCGAAAAGCGGCGAGGAGCAAGAGCCGGACCAGAACGATCGATGCCACCGTCGAGAGGCTCAAGGAGAGAGACAGGGACAGAGCCAGAGACAGAGACAGGCGCAGCGATAGGCACCTCGACGCGGAGCAGGCCAGCACCACCAAGAAAGCGACGCGGAGGAGCAGCAGCGCCCGCCCGCCGCGGCGGAGCAGCTCCAAGAGCAGCAAAAAGGCCCTCCGCGAAAAGGAAAGGGACCGGGACAACGATCCACCGGCTTCCTACGACGGGACGGCCGAGGACGCAAACGCAAACGCAAACCACACCAAGAAAAAGAAGAGGAGCAAGAGCGTGGTGATCCTGTCGAGCAAAAGGCCGATGGGGGGCAACGGCAGTGGCAGCGGCAGTGGCAGTGGCAACGGCAAGAAGCGGTCCTCCGCCATGGCGACGCTGCAATCCCTCGTCGACGACTACAAGGCCCGGCACAAGAACAACAACCACAAGCACAAGCCGGGCAGGCCCCCGGCGACGCCCACGCCGGAGGAACGACCGCCGTCCCCGGAGCCGAGCCGGTCCTCCTACACCCACAACACGGGGGCGAGCGCGAGCGCGAGCGCAAGCATCACCACCAACAAAACCAGCACCACCGTGAGTTCTTCGGGTACGCCCAGGCCACCGCCGGGGAGCCGGGCCTCGTCGCGGAGGGCCTCCAGGGATCCGCAATCGCAATCGCAATCGCATCCGCATCCACTTCCTCCGTCCTACCAGAGAACCCCCCCGCCGATCCCGCGGTGCCCGTTGTCGGCGGCGTCGTCGAAAAAATCCTCCGTCTCCGTCCCCACMGTGGTGACGACCGACCGGCCGAGGAGCGCGCGATTCGGGCCTCCCCTGTCGGCTGGACACAGGGCCTCCCGGCGGTCCTCGGCCCCGGCGGACACCCTCTCGGCCTCCATCGGGAGGGCCCTGCCGACGCTGTCGTCGTCGTCGGCAGCTAGGAACGGCCACCCCAGCGGCCCCCTTGCACCGCCGCCGGTGCTCCCGTCGCTCTCCCCGCACCCTTCCGGAACGCCCTCCCGCGACGGAACAGCCAGCACGGGGACGGGCACGAGCAGCAGAAGCAGCGGCAATGGCACCGGGCCCGAAACCGAAACCAGCACCGCGAGGCGTCGGAACAGCCTGGGGACGAGGATCCGGACCCGGAACGGGCACCTSCTCAGCGCGCTCAACCACGCGCTGGTGGAGGAAGAAGAAAAAGAGCGGGAGCTCGAGCGCCAGCAGCGCGAGCRCGAGGAAGAGCARCACGAAATCGAAGGCTCCTATCTGCCGGAGGACAACTCCGCCTTTGAGGCCCTGTGGAACCGCGACAGCAGCCACAAGAGCCCGACCGGGGACGGCTTTGGGGAAGGCCCTTGCGACGGGGAAAGCGCGAGCGAMGATGGCARTGGCCATGGCTACGCCAATGACAATGGCTACGGCACGGGGGACGACGACCGAGACTACTACGGCTACGAGGACTGCAGCGCGGGCCGAGGCTCTCTCCCCGAGGCAGACCCTTCCGAGACCCGGTCGCGAGACCGSCAGCGGGAACTCCTGCTCGAGCAGCAAGAACAGGAGCAGCRSATGGAATTCGAGAAGAAACAGCAGCTCGCGGAGGCCGAGCGACGCTTCGAGGCCCGCCTCTGGGAGCAAGAACGGAGGTTCCAGGAGCAGCTGGTGGAGGCCGGCCGACGCTTCCAGGAACAGCACTCGGACCGCGAGCAGCGGTTCCTGGAGGAGCAGAAGSAGGCCATGCGCCGGTTCCGGGAGGAAGAGGACGAGAGCAACCTCCGCCTGAGCGAGTTCCGGGAGCAGGTGGCCCACCTGCAGGAGGCCCTGGAACAATCGGTWTCCGTCTCGGAGTCCCGGAAGGAGCAGCTGGAGGACGCCCACCACGAGAACAAGATGCTCATGGARGAACTCCAGGAACAGCTGGARCAGGCGAGGGAACGAGAACGAGAACAAGAACAATTGGAAGCCGACAGCGAGACCAGCGGAAACCSCAAACACAAGAACCAAAACAGYGGCGACGGCAACGGMGGCAACAACGACGACAACGCCCTCATCGCCGCCGCGTTGACCGCCGCCAACGAYAAGATATCGGCCATGGAGCAAGAGCTGTGGGATTCCAACAACGTGGCAAAAATGCAGCTGGAGGAGCTCGACGAGCAGGTCGAGAACCTCCAGTACAAGCTGTCGACGGAACGCGCCGACTTTTCGTCCAAGCTCCAGTCCAGGGACGAGACGATCGAGGGCCTGCGGAACAAGCTCCGGCGGTACGAGGACGTCTCGGACCCGCATCTGCACCCACACCCGCATTCGCAYATGCATTCGCACCTGCATCCCCATTYGCATCCGCTGGGCCAAGGCGAAAGCGGCGTCGTCGACGACCTCTCGCGGTCCTCGAATTCYGGGGCTCCCCAGGCGTCCGCTTCCGCGGCCGGTAGCGCCACCATCACCACGGACGACGTGCACTCCATCGAGGCCGCCAAGCAAAAGGTCTACGAGGCCCGCGCGGACGCCACGATGGTCCGGGAGAGCCTCGAGCTCGCCACCCAGAAATGCGCCGAGCTGACCCTCGCCAACGAGGAGCTCACCAGCCGCAACGAAGAGCTGGAAGACACCACCGCCGAGCGGGACGAGCTGGAGCTCCGGCTGGTCGAGTGGACCTCCAAGGCCTACGAGTGGAAGACTCGGGCCGAGGAAGCCGAGCGGAACCTGGCGGCCGCCAAAAAGGCCGCCGGCAAGGCCTCCAACAAGGGCGGGCAGCACAAACCGCCGGTTTCCGGCGTTACCGAGGAGGAGTGCAACCCCCAGGGCATGATGCTCCTGGCCGCCATCGAGCGCAACAACAACAACGGCGGCGGCAACGGAGGCAACAACGGCAGCGGCAATCCAAACGGCGACACCGGCGGAAAGCGGTGGTCCATCTTTCGCCGCGGCGGCGGCGGCGAGGCGTCCGATCCCTCCCCCGAGGCCGGCGGGGACTCCCGGTCGTCCGACGGGTCGGAGGAGGACCTGGAGGAGACCGTCGCCAGGCTCCGCAGCGAGCTGGTCCGCCTGTCGACGGCCCACAAGGACGAGGCCTACCTGACCCGCAAGAAGGTCGCCCAGCTCGAGGGGGAGAACCAGGCCCTCCTSCTGCAGAACGCCACCCTCGAGAAGCTCTCGAGGTTCCAGGAGGAGCACTGATGGGAACGAGCGGTTCACCAGGAAAGGAAAGGATGGGAAAGCAGAACAGAGCCAAACCGCAAAAGCCACACCGCCGACCGCAAGCATGCACATGAAAACATACAACACTGCACACCCACACACTCGTAAATGCTTATAAATACAGTAGACGATAGATGAAGCAAATTTTTTTCTTGAATTGAATTGCATTGAAATGCGTTTTGTGATGTATTGCACTGCCTTTTTTCGTTTCGCTCGGCTAGCATGCGTTGCGAGTCCGCTAAAAGAGGCCCCGGAAACAAATCGGTGTCCGATTGCTTCGTTTGTCGATGTCTCTCTCAGACGTTTCTGGTGGGCGATCGCAAGAAAAATGAAACAACAACCGTGGGATCCGAGATCCGATGCCGTAGACGAAAAGGGAATTCCCCATCGCTTCGATGTATCTCTTGTACGGTAGAATGTACGGTGTGGTCCGTACTACTACCGGTACGTACCTACCTTATTCCAAAAGTCCGGGCAGAAATCGCTTGCGGGACAACATTCCACCGTGTACTGTACTCTACATCCGGAAGGTCCKTACGTACATTACGGTACCACGCTACGTTGTGTTATCCGGGACTCATTGTGATGTCCGTCCAGTCGTACAATGCAATCCGCGCCGCTTCCGGACCCACCGTTACGTTAGCAGGTATGTTACTCATATGGCTCCCGAGTGGGGATCGTGGACGATACCGTAGAACTCGTACTCCTCCTACCCTTAGGCGCGCGTACGTTACGTACTATCCTTCCCAAAGCCTCTCGGCGGAAACACATATGGGACGGATTTGGAATCGGAAATCAAAGCGAAACATGCCGGTAGGCACGGGCACAAGCAAAGGCACATAACCAAAGCATAGTCACAGGGACAAGCAGGCGCAGAAGCAGAAGCACAAACACAAGCAAATATTTCGTGCACCTACCCATAACACACTAAAGAGAGAGCACCAAGGAGATATCTAGGCAATGGTTTTGGGTTCCCTCTCCCCGGACAAGGACGTCGTCCACCACAACGACAACCACGA